TGATGTCCAGAAGGTGCTGGTGAAGTTTTTGTTCTTTTTGACAGGTATGGTTGTGTTGTTTTGCCAGTCTACGTGTGGTAAGTTGAAATCTCCACTTATGTATGTTATTGTGTTGTCGTTTTGACCTAGTCTGTTCACAGAGATTTCTAGTTGTTCTAGTGAGTGTCCTTTGTCTGATGGTGGTCTATAATATGCTCCTATGGTGAGGTTGTGTGAATTTGTCATGGAGATGTTTACCCAAATTAATTCGTTGTCTGTTTCTAATTCTTTAATCTGTTCTGTGTGGTATTTGTTTGTGATTGCAAGTAGTACACCTCCGTGTCTTTGGCCATGTTTATTTGGGTTGCGGTCTTTTCGGTAGACAGTGTACTCAGTGACTGGGAAGTATTCATATGAGGAGATTGTGTTATTCAGCCATGTTTCCGTTCCTATTATGATGTCTGGTTTGAGTGAGTGTAATATTTGGTCGAGGTCAGCTTTTTGTTGGAAATGGATTGGAAGTTAATGGTGGCTATGCGTATTGGTTAAGTAAATTTGTTGTAGCTAGTGGCAGTTTTGTTGTTTTGTTTTATTGGTGAGGAGGATGCTGTGGGTGGTCCTGGGCTGGTGGGGTCCTCATGTAAGCTTGAGTGTATGCTAGAGTTGTGAAGTCGTGAGAATCTGTTTGATGTGTCAATGTTTGTGTTGTCAAATAGTGTTGTGGAGAAGTTTGGAAGCTAGCAATTTAGACAGTTCCAAGATACCCCGCTATGGTCGTAGTATTTGAGGAATGATTTATTCATTCCCTGACAGTCGAGATGGAACCAGGTGTCACACGTATCACAGCATATGACACTGGATTTCCATGTGACTGCCTTGACACAGGTACTGCAGTGGTATCTGGGGGCTCTCGGACCTCTCCGAGGTTTGAATCACGTTCAAGTCTCGTTTTGATCTTGTGTAACGGGTTTTTTTTTTGTAATATTTAACAACTTATGATCAAGTTTAATAGCAATCACGCATCTGAAAAATATGTCAAAAAACTAGATGCCTGTTGTTTGTAGAACTTTTTTTTACAAGAATTTAAAAAAATGACCACTTCGGCGGCCATTTTGAAGATGTGTATTAATGTGTATTTCTTGTGCTTCACAAAAGGCCAAAATTTCACCTTTTTTTTTACACTAGTTTGATAACTTAAATTGTCATTGTGTCGCCATGATTTTATTGTAGCAGGTTCAATTTTGCTGTATAATTTTATAATGTTCAAAATGATAAAAATAATATGCAACAAAGTGGAAAATTATACATTATTGGTATTTATTTTTTCCATATTTAGTGTAACTGAAGCACTTTTGATTTTAGACCCCGAAAAAGGTGGAAAATAACACAAATAATAATGGAACAAAAAAAGAAGCACACGGTTCCCCATTTTTGTGGCTGTTTTAGAAAGAGAACACATTTTCTTTTGATTCATTAAATATTAAAAAAAGTTTAATAACAGAACTTTTTACATCAAGCGTTTAATCTGCAAAAAAAAGGTGAACAAATGAGTAGTTTTTTATTAAAAAATAAGGGGTACGGGTAATTTAAATCACCTTTCTGAGTTAAAAGAATAAGATTAAGAGATTTTACTTTCATAATTTAAAAGAAAATAATATTTTTATCAATTCTACAAACATTCATACATATCTGATAACACGCTTGGAAGAAATTGTTTGAATTTGTTCCTGAAATGGTCAAAACCAAAACAGTCACCTAAAACAGTCACCATTAACTCCTTTTCCAAAAATCCATATAAGAAAAAACGAAATTAATACAGGAATCTTTTGACTTCTCAGAGGTGTACATCCTTAAAGGTGATATATAGTGAAAACATTTATAAAACGGCTCTCAACATCTCCGTATATCGTATTTCGTGTCAGTAACGTTACATCCGAATCAGAGATGGTAAAATAAAAATGTAATAAGAGGAGGTCCACATGTATTATACCCCCCCCCCCCCTATTTCTCTTTGCCCGTGGCCATTGACCCTTTAACATAGACCGATGACCACCAAAATCTAATGAGGTGTAGAATTGAATGTTACCATACTACGATTGTAAACTAAATTTGTCGAGGGGCTCGTAAGTTTTTTACTTTAAAAGTTGTAAAGTGTGATTTTGAATCTGACCGGTGACCACCAACATTTAAACAAGTGTACACTCGGCATAACCATACCATGGTGCTAATATGAATAAACATAAATGTGTGCTAGGGTTCATGAGATATCTTGCAAGTAAAGAGGATATTTAATGGTGTCTTCAGTTATAACAAATATATTTCATGAGTGTGGCTAATATTTTGATATTGCGCACTCGTGAAAATATCAAAATATTAGCCACACTCGTGAAATATATTTGTTATTATTAAAGACACCATTACATTTTCCATACATTACATTTTTAAAGTCATGAAAAATGTAATGCATTAAAAAAGGCGGGAATCAGAAGCGTAATAATTAGCGTCATTTTGAATGGGATTAATTTGATTTAAACGTATTTTTATTTGCAGTCTAATATACAAAAGGGATAGGGCACAAGTTGCCCAACTTATTTAAAGCCCTTTCCCAATATTATAATAAAAAATATATATACAAGATGGCAATTTTTAAATCAACTAATATTTTCAATTAAGTTAAGTGTTACAGAGAGAGAGAGAGAGAGAGAGAGAGAGAGAGGATGGAGGCACAACTTGAAGATATTTAATGTGAAATCGTGGTAGTGATTGGGATACTCAACACAATATTCTGACGTTTTCTGCTATTTTCTGGTATGATTGCTTATACAAATGTTATTAATTGTATATTTATGTGAATACTTAAGTGTGTGTACCAAAGATTTACCATAACAACTACTTATCCTGCTGTCACTTCATTTGAATCTGAACAAAACATCATTGCCTTTGAATGCAGCGAATAGAAGATAACGTTATGATTGGTCAATACCAAAAAGTGATATTTTCACACTTTTGATATTTGTCACAGTGTGAAGGATATCACTTTTATCAAGTTGATAGAATCCGATATTTCACTGGCAAAAATGTCATAAATTGTACTATTCACAGAACTCAGGCATATTCTTATTACGATTATCACACTGCAAATTAGATGTCCGTCCAAAGTTTAAGATGAAAGTTGCACTTCCTTTGAGTGTACTGAAACCTCAAACCTTCAATCTAAGGGAGTCTTTAAGCACATCAGTAGCCAGCCTGATGGCTATATGTAGGTTATCAAATTCTGCCCCAAAATCTCGTAATGTGATCTATGGAAACAGGTGCTTTGGGAGGGTTTCGGCCACGTTGTGGAATAGCTTACCATCTGCTAAAAGAAAGTCATATACCCTGGCCAAATTCAAGAAGGACACTCACCTCTTCACGTCTGCATTTTAGGCTCGTTGAACATACCATCCTCTATTTATTCATGTATGTGCACATTGAGATGATTATCTTCTTGCTTAATGTATAATGGTGATTGTAAGCCTTTTTGTTTAACAATTATATGTTATTATCCATATGTTGTAAAGCGCTTTCGAGTAATTTTACAAAAGTGTGGTACCCAGCCTGACATAAAACCTATGGAGCCCTCGGAGTCTTCCTTTGTCTGTTAGGTACCCAGCCTGACATAGAACCAATTGGACCCTCGGAGTCTTCCTTTGTCGGCTAGGCACACAGCCTGTCATAAAACCGATGGAACCCTCTGAGTCTGCCTTTGTCGGTTAGATACCCAGACTGACATAAAACCAATGGAACTCTCGTAGACTTCCTTGGTTGTTTATTCGCCCGAAAGCATGTCATACAATCAACACACCATGCCTATGATAAGAGATAGAAGCAGTAGAACGTCTATTTCATTCTTGCTGGAGTTCTGTTATAATAACATAATCCAGATGTTGGACCTATCTCTAACACTTAACTGTAGACTTCTGCTGGGTACCACACCGGCCAAGGAAAACTGTGGAGCTCCATTGTTTCTATGTCAGACTGGGGACTTTCACCGGCCAAGGGAAACTCCGAGGATCCCATTGGTTGTATGTCGGCCTGGGTACCTTACCGGCCATGGAAGACTCCGTGGGCTCTATTGGTTGTATGTCGGCCTGGGTACCTCACCAATATCAGGCTGGGTACTTCACCGATATCAGGCTGGGTACTTCCCCGATGTCAGGCTGGGTACCTCAACGTAGTTAGAATCTTTCCATGGTTCAACCATTACAAAATTCACCATAGCATTATATACCCTATAGGAAAGGATTCATTTACCCTTACATTAATCGCCCTAATCACAGCACCTATCGTCTGGACCGTTTACTCCTCCTTTACAACCCTCTTGCTCTCATTTTGTGTAGCACGAGTGATGCTCTTACATAATTATTTTCTGAGTTTCTTGTTTTGGAATCTTTCACTCACATTTAAATTTTTTGAGGAAGCGGCGCATTGTACTTAGCAAAGCGTATTTCACAGTGAGTTTTAAATTTCAAAGATGCAGCATATGTTGCTACCTATCCTTTTTATATGTAGTTCTGTGTATGGTGCGTCAAACGATTCAATGTACATGTATATACATCTTGTTATTGATATTCTAAATATTGTTATTGATATTTTTAATTGTTATCTACCATGCAAAGGTGGTGATTTGTTTTCAAATAAATATATTATATTATTAACCCTCAAAATATTGTGATTTATATTCAAAATTGTTATTTGTTTTCATTTAAGGATATTCCAATCCATTAAATATTATTTTAATGCATCTTTCATTCATTTAAATATCTCTCTATCACATTCAACGATGTCTCTATTTAATTTAAAGATATAGCAAATAAATTCTCGCTTTGGATGAGGTGGTTTTCAACAGTATGCACCCTCTCAACATAACATAGATTCAAATGATTGTTTCAGAAGGGAGATTACCCGTTTGACCATGAAATAAATGATGGTGTCTATGCATTATAACCATAGTATATAATCAAAAGAATAATAAATCAGGTTACAAAAATATCATATTTATTTAATATTTGAAACGAGGTCTCAACATTATGTACAAACATCAAATGCATGTTTCACAATCTAATTCCATACCCCAGTACAAAATTATTGTTGTACGTCTAATTTCTTTTTTAAAGAAAACTAACTGCAATGGTAAAAACACAATGGGGCAAAACGATAAAAGGGTTGTCTCCCTTGCTTAATTTTCTTGTGATATTTAAAAGGTGTACAATCTCGATATTTTCACCTGTTATTATTGGTGGCGTAGCAATTTTTAACAAAACATTCACCTACAAGCAATTTTAAAATAGAAAATAGTAAAAGAGACATAAATGTCGACAGATCCCTAGATAAGGCAGCGCTGAGAAACCAGAACCTAGATACTCCTTGGAACAGAAGAATTATTTGCTTTGAATGAAATTAAAATCTTGGTAGAGGTGCCTCTCTGTACGGACCAGCAATCTGTACGGAACACCAGCGTACGCTTCCACGAATGATCCCGTGCGGTGGTCAGAACGTCAGTCTTGGTTGGCAGTGCCCTTGCAAGGTCCGGCACCAATAGGTCACCAGCGAGACCGTAAACCTAAGGAAATAGACACACAACAATTATTAAAGGAACTAATAAGCATAATTTGAAGAAAAAAACTGTCACGTGAAGTAAAACAGAAACAACGTATATGTTACAGTGATGTTAATATCGTTGAAAACATGCGAACGAACAAATATCCGATATATTGCATAATGCTGCCGAACGGACAAACAATGGTAAAATTCATTGGTGCTGGACATTCAAACATTGATGATATGATACTACTTATGAGCAGACAAAAAATATTAAATCTTTATGCCGACGAGAAGGACGAGTAACTTACCACCAACTGACGAGGGGACGGTGCTCTAGCATTGGGGACTATTTCTTCCCTATGGACGACAGCGGTACACACTGACCATTCAGACACACCTGTGGACAGAGCAATTTCTTACTATTTAAACAGGTAAATAAACAGTATTATACAGACAACAATGCCATAAACACGGAAACTTTCTCCAAGGAAGTCCAATTAATACTGAATTGGATTTAAGAGGAATCAGTATATGTTTATCTCGTTCGATGTCGACCAGAACAAACTGTGCCTACCTTTTGTTTGCTGCACTCCGTTCCGTCCACCGCTGGCTCGGACCTAGTATACCGCCACTCCCCCTTTCGGTCATCACAGCACAGATGTTCACATTGGGTCGGACCTTCCTGTCAAACGGAAACAAGCATATGAGGTGACGTGGGGTATATAAGTATGTGCCATTTAAGATGAAGCAAACCAGAAAAAAGAAAGGCAAAACCATTGAATAAAAAGGGAAGACGAATCAAAAACTCTTCGAAAAACATGAAGATACACTGTAATCTCAAGCACAGAAAATAACACCGCCTTCATGTCTTAGAACCAAGTGAGACAAACTTGGAATTTAGTTAACTTATTAATCCCGTACCTCACATGGTGGACCTCCAGTAAACCGGAGACACTGTTGTCGCAGCGTCATGAACTTTCCCGGAAACGTGGTAGGAAATTTAAGGGTGTCCTTGCTCGACCTCTGGAGTAAACATTTGGCTCGGTCCATTCTGAAAAGAGGAAAGAGATAATTATTGTATTTTTCCACTGTTTTCATGCGATATGCACATAGCTCAGGTTGCTTGTGACGGAACTGCTCACTTTAAGAAATGAAAGCTGAACTTTCATCGAATTATCCTAGGGTGATTAATGATGCTCAGATATGAAAATGTGTCCAATGCAAGCATGTTGAGTTGGACAGCAGTATTATGACCTACCTGAGAAAGTTCTGGAAACTCCTGATGGAACACTCAGAGAACCTGCTGAACTTGTAGGAGTCGTCCCGTGTGTAGCTCATGATGTACCCCGACTTGCTGGAGCAGGTCCCAGCGTCTGCCTCTCCGTCATGGTACGCTCCTAGTCTGTGAGTATAGAGGGGTGCATAGGGTCAATGAGATACGATTAAAGTTCAAAAATAGAAATTGAAAGAGCATACGTTTGGGTGAATGTACAGGGCACGGGTTGGGTTGGAAGTTAATGGAGCAGGTGCAACAAGGAAATTGGCACCAATTGGTGTACCTTGGTTGGATTTAACATGTTGTTCATAGATACTGTTCTTGGTACCTGAGCATATGGTACATCATTTTATAATGCTTAAAATCCGACATACACACTGTACGTCGCCAGCAACAGCATGGTATACTTACAGATGGCCAATCTCGTGAGCAGCGATGATGACACCGTTGAAACTGTTAGACGCTTCCCCAATACCAAAGTTAAATGCGTTTCCCCTCAGCATAGGCGCGGACAGACAGGCCCCGCGGACGTACGCCACTCCTTCAAATAAACAAGTACAATAATTGAAGTCTTGTTAACTTCAGCCAAAATTCAGCCATTTTATCCATGCATATTCCTTAAAATAAATCGAAAGCGTATCGTTTCTGTCAATGATCACATATTGATGTCTTTCTTTCCCTTCAGTGCGTTCTTTCATTTAAGCACTGCGGATTACTTTAAGAAATATATTTGATGGTTTTGGTGCGGTGGTTACCTGCCGTGCCCGTTACACACTCCTTCTCATCTTTCGGATCGAGCTGTGAGGAGATCCCCTTGCGTAGAGACTTGAGAATTTTGGGATTGAATGGAATGCTACCCTCCTTTCCATGTTTCAGTCGACGACACGCGTTCTCTCTGTAATCACACGTGGAACAGGTTACAATACTCGCTATTATGCTTAAAACAAATAACTGAATAATCTGCCACTTTTAAACCAATTGTATTTAAAAATATCATGCAGAAATGCAATCGAAATGTAAAAGAAACGGAAAATTATCGACGACATTTTACGGAAACGTACCCAGTCTGCAGGAAGGCGATGTCATGGACCGGCAAGGCGTTTTCGTACCGGATGAGCCACTTCTGTAGGCTGTCCATGGCGTCATACAGCGAGAACATCTTGCTGCCTCTCCTGATCCTGCTTGACTCGATAAATGGCTGTGCATTTGGCTCCTTGAACACTCCGATCTCTCGTATACGGAGGTCTATGATTGGCCAGGAACCAGACAGTGCGATGGTCAGGTACTTCCAGTTGACCTGAAGTAGATAAGGGTATATTGTATGGAAAGAAAAATCGTAGTTATCAACTGTTACTTTCGCGGGTACTCTCCTACACCTTAGACAAATGAACCATGGTAGCCATTCATTTTTGTGAATGCCCAAAGTTATCGATAAAACGACCCGTATGGTCCATTTAAAAAAATTGAACAAATGCTTCGATACATTTTCTACAGGAATACATCTGTTTTTCTTCAACGAAACAAAAAAACAACCTCTTAATACTATTTGAATATATACTTTGTCAGATGCAAGGAAATGTCCCTACCGCGTGCCAGAAGTGCATAAGATATTCCAACAGTTCGTTTGAGTCTCCATCAAACTCCCGGTAGAGGGCGAAGTCTACAAACAGTAGCAGTTCCGGTTCTATCCGCGGGGTAGTGCGCGATTCTTTCTGAGCTGATGGTCGGAACTGACGTTTCTTCCGTCTGTGTGGATTCCGTTTCTTCGATTCGGTGTTGTCACGCGTGACATTGTACTCCATCTTTACCATATCCTCGAATCCCGGTATGACTGGCACTGATTAAAGAAGAGTGAATATAACAATAGAATCTCGATATTGATACTGACAATTAAAGGGATCATAAAACATTAACCTTGTTGTAGGGAAACAAAGAATCGTGTTTCCCAACCACAATGACAATAAATAATTAACTTACCGAAATAAAACAATAGCACACCAGTAAAGAGATGATTAGATTGATGCGCAATCAACACAAACCATTCAAACACGCTATTATGTAGATGAGGTATTGCAATACAATGAAACCATGATTAATTTGGTAAATGGAGCAAAGAAATAAAATCGTCGAGAAAGTTTTGGAATTGCATATTGATGTTTTTTTCTAAAATCTTTATAAATTTGCAATAATCGTACCATTATTTTGGCCTCCATCTGGCAGGCATTAATGTGCCTTATAAAAGAGATCGATGTGTATAAGTCTTCCCTCGCTTATGCGTTACCTACCGTGCATAGTGTCGGCGTGGAACACACCGTGGTAGCCACCCTCCTCTCTATATACTGTATGAGAGTCCGCGAACACAGCCCTCTTGTGCCTCTTGTTGGATTTAGGTGCCGCCACGATCAACTCGTCAAACAAAACTCCCTCCTGTCAAGGAAATGGGACCCAATCAACAACATGACAATCTACATATCTCTTGTATAAAATTGGGACATTGCTGATATAACTTCAGTGACGATAAGACGGTTGTTTTGGCAACATTGTCGATTCTCAGAATTAGATTCGGGTTATTACGTTTCCTGGAATGACATGTGGAATAATGAACTACTGTGGACTTAAGAATCATCCGTTTGATTGAAACAATTACGAAATTAACAGGCAAATATGAAACCGTTGAGATGAATATTGAGATTTACAAATTCAACAACTATTTTAAAATAAATAATTGTTGTGACACTCTGGCCAGGAAAACTTACAATGTATGATTCCGGTTTCTGTCCAGAGTCTTTCCGATGTGCGTAGATGCTGAGGAACGTCCCGGAGCGGAGGTCCTGGTAGTAGTTTAGACTTCTCGCCTTCTTCTGTAGGTCTACCTGTAACAGGTTCAAAAGAGTGATGGTAGATAACACTTAGGACAATTATAGTGCCCAGCAAAGATGGTTTAAAATGGTCTGCTTCATTATTATTTTTATATATTTCTTCATTAACGTTATGTCACATTGGCAGTGCATTTCTTTTTCAAATAGATGCAAGAATATCGAAAATCAACTTTGAAAGAAGATTTTTTTCCTCTTTTTAGAGTCGACTTCGAATTCGATGTAAAAGCGTGTCCTTACCGGCTTGAACTGCTCCTCGAAAACTGTCTTGCCGCTCTGGTCGACGGAAACAGTCAGAAATCGGACATCCTCGTGCAGGATATTACTGTTTATTCTCTTCACTTCCACGTGATAGGTTTGCTCTGGGGTCGTCACCTTTACCGCCAGGGTCTGGTCGTTATCCGGGTCACCGTTCACGTGTACTTGTGCGGGATGGGACCCGGTAAATGAATTTTTCGGATTCCCCTGACTTCTCTGAGGATGCGGAGCGACTATATGTTGTATATTGTTTTGATTCGCCTGAGAACGCTGTTGGATGCTGGGTATATTTTTCGGATGTTGATACACTTTATATTGCTTCTGGTTATTATCTATATGAAGATATTCACTGCTGTCCGGTGGGACGTTATTGTCACCTGATTTGATAAATTGATTGTTTATTGGAACGTTATTTACATACGGTGCTTTACTCGGATGCGATAGCTGGTTGTTAGTGTAAGCGTTATTATTGACTTGTACATTTGAATGCGTCCGTCCAACATTTCCTTGGATATGGCTATTCACAAGATCATTATTTACCTTGGTAGGAGGGTTTTGAAATACGTTTGAACTACCGATATTATTATGCTGTGTATTGTCGGACACCCTTTGTGGAATAGAATTGGGTACATGCACCGGACGTACAGGGTTGCTCCCGAATCCTGAGAGTCTGTGTACGGACCTACCCTGGTTTAATGTGGCACTATTACGATCCAACTGATAACTCAGTCTAGAGGGCTTGTCAAACACATTTTGTTGTGCGTGGCCGACGCTATTGGAAGGAGCTTGCTGGACGTTGTGTCCGATATCCTTAGGATTTCCATGGTCCCGCTGAATCCCCATTACGGGTCTCTGTTGTGGATTTGACACTGATCCCCTATTGAACTGTGTAGATGATGGCCTGTTTTGGAAGACCCCGGGACGAACGGCGCCCAACAAGTGTTGCGGCTGCTCACCCTGTGGGCGCGGCTGCTGACCCAAGGGCTGTGATTGGTCGACAGAGTTACCATTATGCTGTGGATTGTAACCTGCAAATATAACCAAATGACAATCTTATAATTAAAATTCAAAAGTGTCATCTGAAAATGTCGTTCTGAAATAAATTACGATGTCAGCTACATTCATACAGAGTCGTGTGCTTGGTATGGTATAGAGAGTGTCAAAAAGTACCCAACGAAAACATAAAGAACGTTTGACAGAGTCTTACGCGAACTGGTTAATTGACGAATGATTGCGTTTTTATGAAATTAATTAAAACCCATAACTCTCACATAAATAAGTAACGGTTACACTCCGATGTCAGTGCAAAAGAATATTATCTTGTCCATGATAGAGGTAACTGTCTTAGCGACAAAGATGGAAATAGAATAGGCAAGGTTACCGTATCAATGTCAATGATAAAAGTCACTATGTCAATGATAAAATTTCTTTCCTGTTCAGCGTGTTGTTTTGACAACCAATCTTGGCAGTATGGAGGCACTTTGCTTTGTCAGCCCACTGGGGATGCTTGTTTTGCCACTAACCTTGCTAGGTTTGGATTTTTTTATTTGGTTTTGCCCATTTGTCATACCAGCCAGGGAGTATGCCCATTTACCATACCAGCCAGGGAGTATGCCAATTTGCCATACAAGTCAGGGAGTATGCCAAATTACCATACCAGCCAGGGAGTATGCCAATTTACCATACCAGCCAGGGAGTATGCCCATTTACCATACCAGTCAGGGAGTATGCCCATTTACCATACCAGTCAAGGAGTATGCCAATTTACCATACCATCCAGGGAGTATGCCAATTTACCATACCAGTCAGGGAGTATGCCAATTTCCCATCCCAGCCAGGGAGTATGCCAATTTACCATACCAGGCAGGGAGTATGCCAATTTGCCATACCAGCCAAGGAGTATGCCCATTTACCATACCAGCCAGGGAGTATGCCCATTTACCATACCAGTCAGGGAGTATGCCAATTTACCATACCAGTCAGGGAGTATGCCAATTTGCCATACCAGCCAAGGAGTATGCCCATTTACCATACCAGCCAGGGAGTATGCCCATTTCCCATACCAGCCAGGGAGTATGCCCATTTACCAAACCAGCCAGGGAGGATGCCCATTTACCATACCAGTCAGGGAGTATGCCCATTTACCATACCAGTCAGGGAGTTTGCCCATTTACCATACCAGTCAGGGAGTATGCCCGTTTACCATAACAGCCAGGGAGTATGCCAATTTAACAAATCAGCCAGGGAGTTTGCCCATTTACCATACCAGCCAGGGAGTATGCCCATTTGCCATACCAGTCAGGGAGTTTGCCCATTTACCATACCAGTCAGGGAGTATGTCCGTTTACCATCACAGCCAGGGAGTATGCCAATTTAACAAATCAGCCAGGGAGTTTGCCCATTTACCATACCAGCCAGGGAGTATGCCCATTTACCATACCAGTCAGGGAGTATGCCAATTTGCCTTACCAGTCAGGGAGTATGCCAATTTACCATACCAGCCAAGGAGTATGCCAATTTACCATACCAGTCAGGGAGTATGCCCATTTGAACACTAACCTCGCCAGCCCTTGGGTTTTTGTTTTGACTGTTGTTGCTGCTGTTGCTGCGGTTGCTGCTGCTGTTGCTGTTGCTGCTTCTGTTGTTGCTTGTACCAATTATTATTTGACACGCGTGGCGCGTTTCCCTGAATAAACAACAATAAATCGTTAAAATAGTCTTTAGTTATTAAACATCAGGCAACTCGAGCTCAGGTAAATTACAGGAAACTATGACTATGCCGGAAAATATTACGCATTCCAAAGTTATTTTAATAATTCCATCACGATAAATCGGAGATAAACGTGAAAAAATATTTAACGTTTGATAAATGGTCATTCATGTGAATGTATAAACGTGATTACTACATTAAGAACAATAAATTACACGAAACCATAAACTAATCAAAATAACAGAGAAATTAGTAAACAACACATGTATACGGACAAACAACAGAGACACACTTCACCAGCCAGACGGCTAATGAAATTCGTGTCAACTCTACAAGTCATGTACAGATTATTTGGGGGGGTTTATGCCTTTTAACGTGAAGCAGGTGATGGCTTTGTCGGACTAAGTGAAGTTAACAGTTATGACCATACAGAAATCATAATAAACTTGCCAGTTTGGCGTTTCTCTCTAACGGTATATCCCCACATAATTCTATCTTTACATGGTTTCTAATGGTACATATGATTATCGTCAAACGATGTTTTTATCTACAAAAAATACTGCTACATGGTACTTCAATCTAAACAATAAACCGTTTCATGGTATTTTGCTCTAAACAACAAGATGGTGTTTCGGTATAGCGGAATACCGTAACATGGTTTTGGAAAGTATACTTTTACAAGCATTTTATTTTATGTAACGATCTACATGGTTATAACAGTATACCGTTATATGGTGTTTCGCTATAACGTTATAACGGTACATGGTGTTTTGCTATGACGGAATACCGTTACAGGGTGTTTCTCTATAACGGCATACCTTCACATGGTATTTGGCTATATAGAGAATAAAACATGCCTTTTTTCCATATCACACCCCGGATCAACCCTCGACCAATATCAGCCCTTGGGCTGATATTGCAGTCTTAGTGTTTCGCTATAATGGTTTACCGTTAAATGGTGTTTCGCTATAACGGTATACAGGTAAATGGTGTTTCGCTATAACGGTATACAGGTAAATGGTGTTTCGCTCTAACTGTCGTTAAATGGTGTTTTGCTATAAAAACGGTATACCGTTAAATGGTGTTTCGCTGTAATGGTGTAACGTTTCATAGTGTACCTATCTAAACGGTTATCTTTCTAAACGGTATACCTTTCCATATTGTTTCTCTTCTTCTCTGACGGTTTACTCTGATATGTTGTTTAGTTCTAACTGGGTTACTCAAGCTTTGGGCTGGAATTACTGTCGGTTGGAGCAAGTCCAGTGGTTGCTGCAAATCATGCCGCACAACTCGTACAATGGCGTCATTTTGAAATGTATTCAGGACATTAACTACTTTTATATTCATACATTTGTAAGAATACCATTTAGAAATCTTTTCGTGCTGTTTGGTTGGCATCCAATATCTCTAACTTTACGAACGTCTTGTACATAAGCTGTGTGGTAATCAATTACTGATGTCACCTACAGTCGTAGGCTAACATACAAAACGTTCACGGTCAGATGTAGTAAATAGTATCATGTATTGACTCGGTTATGTCTGGCTCCTAGGCTATTAAATACATTGTACAAAATATAAGAACACAAGTGTCTGATACGTCACAGCCCATTACGCCACGGCCCTTTACGGTGTGTGGTCTGTATTTGTAACATGACCACTAATACAGAAATATTCGGACCATTGTGTCCGTGATGTGTGATTCACGTCTGCGATAACTCCTTAAGTTCACTGACTGGTCAGTCTAGGTGACCAGCTCATTATAGCCTATCAATGTAACTGTCACAATAACACGACATTGGGACTGTACTGTGTGCGGGGTTTACTCTGCAATAAACAGTGCAGCCCTGGTGACAACACCGAGGCCCGGTATATCTTGTATACATATACACTATCCCTACCACCAATAAATCAATGTGTCTGGTTCATTAAGGTTGCAACTCCTCAATAAGACAGCAAAGATCGAAACACCCCAGTTCACTATTGTGAAGTCCACCTTGCATCTACATAGCTGGAGGTCGGGTGTTTGATAGAGTTAAGCGATGTAGCTAAGCCGGTGGAAGCTTGGGAGTATGATAGAGCTGAGGTACTTAAGTTACTCAGTGATTGGGGAGGGTGAACTGCAGAATGTTCCGAAGTGATATAAAAAAAATGACGATTTTCATTTGTAATATCCCTGTAGGTCGATTGTAAAGCTCATTAAGATAAATAATACAGAAATAATTGCCATTGTTTTGAATACACATTACGGCATATCTGTAGTATCCCACTTTCCAAAATAAGTTGTCTTGAAACTGCAAATAGATGATGACGTTCTAAATGTATAATGTTGAACCCATCCTGCAGTCCCAGATCTTTAACGGAAACCGATCGGTTCAAACTCCTTAGAGCTTATTGACTGGACCCATCCATCCTTGCAAGGAGCAGAACCGGAAACGCAAAGCTCTGGAAAAAGGTAAAAACCTTGTTAACCCCACTGCATGAGCGTAAACAACGTAAACAAATTTCAACAAATTCTGTATGTTTTGACAGTCTTGTGTTTCACTTACTTTTTATCACCAGACAATGTACGACCTAATTGTGTTGATGAGAAACCAAACAAACAGAGAAGACAACACGAGTTAGCGAAGATGAGCGAAACCTCATGTTGCTGGTTCCTTACAGCCTGTTTAGTTTAGATGTCAAAGCGTAATTCCAATGCATTTCAATAAGATATTTCCTCAAATTTGTCATTTCTTTTTTTGTTTTTATATTTAATGGTTTTAATTTAAACGTCATTGTGACTTTGAGGTAAGTAAACGACGCGCGACTGTTCACATGTAGAGTAGACAGTCCTCGATATTAATAGATCTAAAGCGCCACTGGCGGTGAATTCTGATGTGACAAGTGACAAGATGATCAGAGCAGCTCTCTTCCGGGTTTGACGTCGACAGAGTTCGTGAACTCGTCAGAGCACCCCGGGTGTGTGAATGAATAATGCAATGTACCGGTCAGTCAAACCCTTCCTATGCATGACCAATACTGACCAAATATAAAGCAGTCGTGACTTCACAGACCGGAAACCAAACCCCTCAAAACCGCAAACCAACCACGCCAATCCGTAAGATGCTTTTAACGCCCGCTAACATTAGTGACCATCATTAGTTAATAATATAAATGGTAAGTTCAGCTACGAAAAGCGAGAAAGATGTTTCTGCTTCTATTGATAGAGGCATGGCTATTGTAAAAATATTTTGACGCACACGATAAAATATCAATATGAACGCCGCTATTGACAATATCCCGACAAAAAGCTTACAATACGCTGTGATTGGAAGGTAGATACAGTCATCAATCGATCAAGGTAGTAACTGGCCTTGTGTTGATATCTAGGGTACTGCAGGCGATATAGTTAATGTAAGGTTTCATGAAGTTGCTTAACGTTGAAAACAGTCGACTGGCGCCAACGTGTGACGTCACACCCACCACAACCAGCTGTTAATGTTACTTGGAAATGAATACACACGTCAAGGCACATTTTGAATAGTTTCACTATCTATATACATATAAAGTGGAATTAGAATGTACTCCAAGAGTTAAACTTTTTCAGCATTAATGAGTCAGAATAATGAAAATATGTAACCGACCGTTCATGTCAAAATTACATAAACCAACGACATATACAGCCAACTTACGTAAGCTGTCATCATGTAAAATGAACCATTAAGTATCGTATTTTAAGTTTTCTGCAGTTAAGAATCCCAGACCCACTGCAGGCATGATTGTTTTTTTCTTTTTTTCTTATTTCATCTTTATTATACTCATGGTTGTTTTACAAGGTATGTGTTTCTTCACAGAAATAATTCAATGCAGCTATTTCCAATTCATATTCACACTTGTTGGCACCGATGCGGTGACCCTTAAGATGGAGGTCGCCGGGAACACGCTGTGATCAGTGTTGTATCATGATGGATACTGTTGTTTTTTCCTATAAAAGTACACGTGATTGAGAGTTGGGACAACTAACCATGCGGTAACTATACTTATGATAAATGGTTGTCAGTATCAATTCAATCTTCAGGGCGATGCTTTTACCTCCTCATAAGGATATGCAACACTGCATTATATGCCGCACCACGAATGCGCCAATTTTCACCTTCGAGTCATTTTGGGGTGAGACTAATAACTAATAACTACATATTAGCTATTAGTTTCAAAACCAGAGAATGCTACCTATAAGGAAACCGTTATCTTATTACCTTCCAGTTTGATGTTATATTTGGGTTATAAACGTACATGCTGCTCTGTGATTTTCTTTTGTCCATCAATAAGTAAAAAAAAAAAAGATTTAAAAAAGCAAGTTATCTCATATAAGTAGTAGTCAGCGCGTTAAGTGTTATATATATGACTTTTAAGTAGTAGTTATAGCGCGTTAATTGCTAGTTATATGACTTTTAAGTAGTAGTAAGTGTGTAAATTGTTAGATACATGACTTTTAAGAAGTAGTTAGCGTGTTAAGTGTTAGTTATATAACTTTTAAGTAGAAGTTAGTGTGAAAAGTGTTAGATACATGACTTTTAAGAAATAGCTAGCGCGTTAAATGTTAGTTGTCTGCTACTAAGTTGTAGTTAGCGCGTTAAATGTTAGTTGTCTGACTACTTAGTTGTAGTTAGCGCGTTAAATGTTAATTGTCTGACTACTAAGTTGTAGTAAGCGCGTTAAATGTTCATTGTCTGATTTCTAAGTTGTAGTTAGCGCGTTAAATGTTAGTTGTCTGACTACTAAGTTGTAGATAGCGCGTTAAATGTTGGTTGTCTGACTACTAAGTTGTAGTTAGCGCGTTAAATGTTAGTTGTCTTACTACTAAGTTGTAGTTAGCGCGTTAAATGTTAGCTGTCTGACAACTAAGTTGTATTTAGCACGTTAAATGCTAATTATCTCATTTTCAGTAGTTATATATATATGGCACGTTAAATATAAGTAATCTCTCTTTCAAGCAG